TGATGATGATGATGATGATGATGATGATGATGATGATGATGATGATGATGATGATGATGATGATGATGATGATGATGATGATGAGTGGCTCCTGGTTAAGCCTTTGTGGCTAAACGTACAGTTGAGCCAAAATCTTTTCTTATTCATATATTTTACTGATCGAAAAATTACTCAAGACTTTCCTTCCTTACTCTGCTTTTTTAAAGATGATGTTTGTGGTGGTGGTGATGGTGATGATGGTGATGATGATGATTGGTGATGATGATGATGATGATGATGATGATGATGATGATGATGATGATGATGATGATGATGATGATGATGATGATGATGGTGGTGGTGGTGGTGGTGAAGGTGATAATGAGATTATTAAAAAGTCGAAGAATGATGAAAACGCCAGAGGAAGGTGAAGAATGAAAATGTTGACAACGTACCAAAAAAGGCATTTTCTCCCTCTGCTATCGCTAGCTATTGCTATTGAAACCCCAGGCGACCCTTACCACCACACCGGGCAAAAAAAAAAAGAACAAAGAGCTCGTTGGTTAGTGACAAACCTTCCAAAGACTCAGGTTTGGTGATGGTGATAGCTGGCACGCCATATCGCGGAGACTTGGGCCCGGCAGCGGTGCCACTATTCCTACGTGCTTTCTCGTTGTTGGCCGGGCGGCCCATTGTGGTGGTCACCACAGACCTGCTCATGGTTTTTGTACGTGGCGACGACGACAAAGGTGCGGGCCGGGGGGAGGACTTCACAGAGCTGGACTCTGTGACCACGGTCACGTGGTGCTCGGTGCCAGAAGAGCTCGACACTCGTCTTTTAATCGGGATGGTTGAGCCGTTAGACTGGCCCGCGTCATTGATGCCAAAACCCTGCTGGCTAATGGTGGTCTTTTCGTAGATTTTACTTTTACTCGGAGACCTCTTCATAAAACTGAAGATGTCGTCACTGATGTCGGGACTGACATCGCCAGGTGACAATATTCTCACCGGCGAGAAGGCCGGGCCGTTAGGAGAAGAGGGCGACGAGCAAGTCTGTATCGGGATGGTCACGGCTTCTTGTCTTTTCTTGCCGGCGTCGCTACCTCTCGCTGGTGGGCTCAGAGACATCTCAGACCGGAGCGACGACGTCCCAAAATGGCGGTCCGGAGAGAGGAGCAGAGAGTGGGGCGAGGACGCGGCGGGGGACGGTCGTGAGGAGAGAGGGGAGAGCTTACTGAAGTTGTCCATGCCGTCTCCGGATGATGACGTGCGACGGGAGGTCACCACGCTTTTGGTGCAACTCCGACTCACGCTCGTGTTGTTGGGTCTGGACTGAGGAGAGACGGGGTCCGGCAGAGCGGACACACGCGGCATGAAGCTGCTAGTGATGGTGGTTGTGGTGGCACCTCCGCCAGTGTTTTTGCTGTTGTCGTCATCATCCGTTGCCTGGGAGACCAGGAAGGGTGTGGCACTGGCAGGAGGGAAGGTCCGTGCTTTGGTGGTGGTCCAGATGGGGTGGGTGGAGTACTCGAGGGACATTGTGAGGAGCGTTATAATAGATCTTGCGCACAGTCACTTCTTTTTGAAAAAATGTTAGTTGTTGTCTGTGCCCCTGTTCAGCTTTGTCCGTTATTGGTCACGGTCCACACAATAGTTTGTGAACTGTTTTCACACAATTGTTTGTGAACTGTTTTCACACAATAGTTTGTGAACTGTTTTCACACAAAAGTCTTTTTTCCTACCTGGGCTGCAGTTTGTGGCTAAGCAGAAATCTCTTTAATTAACCTGAGCTACAGTTAGTTGAGTCTGTGTTTTATTTTCGGTAGGACGAGGTCCGTATTGACAGACTGCCTTGAAAGTTAACGCCGTAAGCTTTAAGAACACAAAGCCGTTGTAAGATCATTACGAGACAAACGTCACTTCCACAACCGAGAATAAATAACAACGAAAGTGACTTCAGAGGACTTACTATATAAGAATCCCCCCCCCCTCTCTCTCTCTCTCTGTCTCTCTCTCTCTCTCTCTCTCTCTCTCTCTCTCTCTCTCTCTCTCACTCACACATACACACGCACACAATAACACACCAGAGGTGTGCATGTCCTTATGCTTTATGCTGACAGTGTGTGCATGTGCGCTCACACACACACACACATACACACGCAACACACACACACATAAGCACACACAAACAACAATAACGCACCAGGGATGTGCATGTCCTTGTGCTTGACGCTGACAGTGTGCACGCCCATCTCCTGAGGCACAAACTTGATGCTGTAGTGCGAGTCATCCAGGCTCACCACGTCACACAGCTCCGTCACTCCGCTGGGGCTCTTCACAGACGCTGTCATGTCGAAAGGTGTCGTTCCTGTACACGGAAATGGGGCAAGTGGGGGAGATGTAGTTTTAGTAAGAGTTTTACTATCAAGAGGCTAACCCAGGACAGGAAAAGGTGGAAAGTGTTTGCTTGTGGTATTTTTGCAACACAAATTTAGTCACATAAAGGTATGAGAGCCGAAGATTAGAGGTGTTACTAGAATGTTCACGTAAATGGAGGGGTTGGGGTGAAGGTTTGAGCAAAGGGAAACACATCAAAACAGTAACAGGTCATTTACTGCGCGGGAAAAGGAAGACAGACTGACAAACAGGAACACCAGTTAGAAAAAACAATGGCACCTTACAAATAGTTACAATGCCATGGGTGGGGACTTGGACCAACAGGACAAACAAAGTGGTGGATAACTATGCTTGATGTTAAGATGATACATGAGTTGTTTATGACAACAAGGAGACGTTTGAGATGATGATGATGATGATGATGATGATGATGATGATGATGATGATGATGATGATGATGATGATGATGATGATGATGATGATGA